GCCGGGGTCTGGCGCCCCGGAGAGACCCTGTCTCTTCTCAGGGTCCCGCCGGCCCCAGAGATGTCCCTCATCGCCAGAGCCAAAGAGGAAGGGCGAACAGGGAGCGGAAGTGGTACCCATTCCTGGTCAGGAACGCTTGTGACACGTTTGTGGTCGGTAGCAGGAACTCATCACCCCAAAAATCCACAGGTCCTATGGGGTGGGGAGCAAGGTGACGCAGAGTCCTTGGGCAGAGACCTGAGAAGGGTATGGAGGGATCCAAGTTTCCGCCGGGACTTCTGACGCTGCGAGAGGAGCCACACCAGAGAGGTTAAGGATGAAATTCCTTTCCTCTGTGCAATCCTCACAAGCCCAGCGGGACTGCCAGAGCTCAGGAGGGGCTCAACCTGAACTCGGGAATCCGGAGTTTTGTTCTCAAAGTTAACTCAATGAGTTTCTTATTCCTTTACAGGGAAGGATTAGCCACAGTAGCATAGCCATAACTGGCCCTGGCTATTAGCATCACAGTAAGGTAGAGCTTTGGAACCAGAGTTCTGGGTTCGAGCTAGTGCGCTTCCACTAGACATGCAACCTTGGGCAGCTTAACCAATCTGAGCCTCAGTGTCCCTATCTGTTAAGTGGGGATCATAGGGTTGTTGTGAGGATTAAATGAGATAATGTGTCATGCTTGGCACCTAATAAGCCTCCATAGACATCATTATTGTACAGGTCTAATTACGAACAGAACTTCCTTAAGTTAGAAATGACGGATACCATTCTCATTTTCACTTTTATTATTGCTAAAATCAGAAAAGAATCATAATTACAGTCAACAAATCCTGACCCTCAGGTCAGGCATTCCATTAGTTGCTAAGCTTGATACAGTGGTTCCACTTGGTGGAAAGAGTAAAACAAAACAGAGGCTGGAACATTTAAGCCAGCCAAGAAGGGGTCCCAGAGGGGAGCTAAAGCAACTGTGAAAAGTGAGGAACCTCAAGGGACAGGGCAGAGCCTCAGTAGCTGGGGTGGCTTCAGGGCAAGGTGACTGAATCCAGCTCCTCATGGACAGAGGCCCAGGGAGGAGAAAACTTGCCCAGGGCTCACAGCTGCTCAAAGCCCCAGGGCTCTTTCCCCTTCCCTGGCGTATTCCTTGGAATATGATGTAGCCTACACTGTTGGGCATGGGTGCAAGACCATCTTGCTCAGCCGCAGCAGCTGGAAAGGCCAGCCTCATCAAAGCTGCACAAACATAGCCAAGATTACAGGGTCAGACAGAACACAATCGCATTCTCCAGGATATTTTACTGAAGGCCACTCTTATGGAGTAGATGTTACGTGCCAGGCCCTCTCCTGAGCACCTTACACGTGTTCCCTGTCTAAGCTTCACCACACCCTTATGAAGGAGAATTATTCCCATTTTTCGGCTTCTGAACCCGAGGCTAGGAGAGTTCAGTAACTTGCCCAAAGGTCACACAGCTACTAAGTGGTGGAGGTGAGATTTGAACACTTTCCACTATTTAACACTGTTTCAACAGGAAGGGGCGGGGGCAGCCAGAGGCAGCACTGGCCCCTTACCCCAGAGCAGATGCTAGGGCGTGCAGTTCCCTCTACCAGGGCTATGTTCTCACTTATGCCTCAGTTTCCCTAAAAGGAAACTGAAGAGCTGTCCTTCCCTTTCTTCAGAAGAAGTTGGGGCCTCTCTGAAGAGTTTTCTGGAAGCACCTTCAACTATAATCCTGGAACATCCTCGTCTCTACTCCGGACCCAAAATCAGGTTGTCCACCCAGCATCCTCCCTATATCACCCTCCATGTTGTATGGCCAGACCCCTCTGCTGGAATTACACAGATAATGCCCTTTGAGCTTGGGTCCGGGACAGTCCAGAATCCCTCGGAGAGCACCAGTGGGCATAAGGGTGGGCCAGGGGCCCGGAAGCCTGCTTTCTCAGTCTGGCCACTGTCCAGATACCCCTCTACTCAAGCTGATGCCCACCCACCTCCATGCAGGTGCCCAGACGCCAAGAAAGAGTAGACAGTGTCTGGAAAGAAGACTCCTGGAACCAATTTCTGCAAGAACTAGAGACTGGGCAGAGAGTAAGTGTCAACCTGGCCCTCTGGGAGAGGACATACCCTCAGCGAGTGCATTTTGGAAAGCAAGTTCACCCCCTCTGACACATCCTTCCTCACCCTTCAGCCAAAGAAACCGCTAGTGGATGAGCCTGTTGATAAGCCCTCTCAGCCCATTGAAGTGAGTACTGGCTGGGTGAGTGGAGTGGGAAGGGGAGACACTAATGTTGGGGGATGTATGAGAGATTCTGGGTGGGGTGGGCACCAGTGCCCGTGCGCAAAGACCACAGAGCAAAAGCTTTGACCCTCTCCATTCCCATCGGTTTACTTGGGCTGAGCACTTCTCACCTCTGTATTCCCAGCACCCAGAACAGGGCCTGGCATACAGTTGTTAGCTGCCGTGCAGTCAGCCCTCATCTCACGGTGACCCCATGCACAAATGGAACGAAATGAAATGCTGCCTGGTCCTGTCCCATCCCCAGGATGGGTTGTAGATTGAACCATTGTGATCCATAGTGTTTTCATTGGCTGATTTTCAGAGTAGATTGCCAGGCCTTTCTTCCTAGTCTGGAAGCTCTGCTGAAACCTGTTCCATCATAAACCAAAAACCAAACCTGTTGCTGTCGAGTCAATTCTGACTCATAGGGAAGCTCAATAAACGTGTTGAATAAATATGTGTTGACCAAAGCAGAGAAGGGGTGGCCAGTGTGGACTAGAATTGTCAGGAAGGATTCTTGGAGGTGGGGCTGGGCTCTACAAAGATGGGAGGGTTTGGCCAGTCAGACAGACAGATCTTCTGGGTGGGAGGAGAAGCATTAGCAAGGGCCTGGAGGGCTGTGTGTGCAACAGCAGACTGGGATGGGCAGTGGGAAAGGGCAGTGGGAGGGACGGCTGGATGGGGACAGTGAAGCCAGGCTGTAGAAAGCCATAAAAGACTTGA